ACAGCATTTTGGTCAAATTCAGAGAAAGTGTTACCATAACTATAATCAATCAATACTAACAATCCCCGCCTTCACTCTCTCATTTTATTTTTGATTTAGTATTAATATTACAGGCTATTTATAAAAACAGATAGATAGACAACAAAATGTAAACGTGTTGTCTGGTGTGTGCACAGATGTGGTTTCCTGTCCTCCTCCAACACTCATGTACATATACTGGGAACTCTCTGTCATATCAGCTTTGATTTTTAATCATCCATACATTTTGTTAGCAGATGCGGAGGAAATGATCACACTGATTCTATTTTATTTAAGGGATTTGATGTGAGCTGTAAATCCTATTTCACTCAAACCCTCTAAGTGAGCTGGGGGGCCACATCCAGCTCGGGCTCGCCCATAATCTCCCTGCTCTGGCTCCAATTATCTCACTAGATTAGATCCATAGATCATTAGATCATGTTACATAGATCAGACCATTAGATTAGCTTACATGATCTAGAAACCCATTAGAGATGAATGCCCTGCATCACCGTGGCTGTTTATTCAAGAGCACGTTGACAGGACACAGCAGTGCGTCATCAGTCAGCTATCAGAGCCGTCTGTATCAGATGAGTTATTGTTGAAATGTCAGAGATGTTGATGTAATAGAAATGGGGGACGTGGTGTGAGGGTTGTAGTTTTCCTTAGCCTGATCTGCTTTTCCATGACAACAGGAGCAACACAGAGGGGCTTTTCCTTTTGCAGGCTGGAAAAGCCCTTCTCCTATTCCAGAAACATCCAAAGTGGGTCAAGCAGGGCAGGGCTGACAGCAGTCTACAACTGCTGCTGCAGCTGTGCCCGTGTGTGTGTGTCCTCTGTGCTGTGTTTGCTTTGCACCGAGCAGAGCATGTGTCTTTGCACAGACAGACAGACAGACAGACAGAGGAATGGCACAACAGAAAATAAGAAAGGAAAGGAATGAGGGAGTTGTAGGGCCGCCTTGGAAGAAAAAAAAATAAATAAAAAAATAGAACTCACAACCTTTTGGTGACAGTTCAATTTATATGCAGAGAGGACTTCTGCTGCAGAACAACACGATTTGAGATCTTATGCCTCTGATGCTTGTTGTTTTCCAAGGAAACCCCCTGCTGCTGCCAAACCACCACTCCGTTTCCCTAGAAACAAAGAAGTGGCATGTAGGAACATACAGTGCATCTGTTGTAGAAACTAAAACCAGTGCGACTGGGAAAGTCCAACCGCAGTGATGGTTGGATGCTCCTCAGTGATAAACAGCACTGTTTGTTTCACCGTGCACAAAAGGAGAATATTCAGACAGACGAGGAGAGAGAAGCAGAGAGCAAAGAGACAAAAAAGACAAAGAGTAACAAAAGAAAGATGAATCAAAGACCTACTCAACTTAGGGGATTCCACAGAGACAGTTTCAAAGCAGTTTTGGATTTTAAAAAGTGCATGCACCAAATCAGGCTTGTCTGACAGAACTGAAAATGCTGTGTCATTCTAAAAAACACTGAGCCTTTCCTCTATATTCCTCTTTGCATGCAACATCTCTCTCCTCCCTTTCTCATTGTCGTCCACTCATTCTCATTCTATAAATTGCCTCACTTACTCAGTATTTTATAAAGAATGCATGAAAACAAGAGTGTGATGTAAATGATGAGGGATATGAAAAGATTTCAGTTTCGTGGGAGAATGAATTACATCAGATTCATCTGAAACGTTTTATCTGCTGGCCGTGAGTAAGTTTGACCTTCAGCATGAGTTGTACAAATGGGTTGCCAGCTTTGTAAGAATTACAAAAGCCATTATGTCATAGTAATGTATGCACTAGCATACATGAATGTCTGATGTTAAACTGTCAGTCATAAATAATGCCCCTGGTATTTAAGGATGTGAGTGAATTCTAGACATATTCATTCAGACACCCCTCAGAGTAGGATTATACATCAACTATCATCAATTATAGAGACTTATCTCACACGTTTTTCCATTGGTTTGTGTTTTTTTTTTTTTTTTTTTCCTTTTTTTTTTTTTCAATTTTGATAAATTAGCTAAAATCCTACAGATTTTCATCTCACTCTGGCTGCAGCTCAGAAATACTGAAGCTCCAAACTGGAGGGGAAATCCATGTGTGTAAGAGATATACTGGCTGGCTCGCCCCAGGGAACACAGCCAACATCACATGATTTATAGCACGATGGAGGAGCCAAGTTCACCTCCACACACACACACACACACACACACACACACACACACACATAGACGGAGTATTCAACTAGCCAGCAACCAGTTCTGCGGTTTTAATTATTACGGATTGCCTCCCACTGATCTGCCTTCAGAATCAATCTCACTCCCCCACATTGTTTGAATGCTGCTGATCAAAGTCATTAATCGATCACAGGTTAGCCGACTTTGTGTGTCCGCACAAGAGTATTTGCTCAGGGGAATTGTGCACTCATTAAAAATCCATACAAAAATGTGTGAGCAATCCTTGTGTCTGTGTGCACGGGTGTGTTTGCCTGCTCTCCCTACTGTACGAACACTCACCCGTCTCCACCGTCACTGCACTGTTGGGAGTATGGGTGTGGTCTTGAGGTTATGGTGTCTGATTGCTGGATGGTTGTGTGTCGTGTTTGAAAGCGTAATTAATGACTGGATTCAGCCATGTCCATTGTTATAGCCGACTGCTGTTTGCAGAAGCAGCGACTGGAGGGCAGAGTGATAATGAAAAGAGGGAGATTGAGAGTGATACAGTAAAATCAGTAGTGAATTTGAGCTCTGACTTTGAAGCAACGCGGGTTAAGTGTCTGATGTATGAAGTGCTGAAACAGTAAGTTATTCAATTAGTCAACTGAAAGAAAATTCAGAAGTTGTTGCACAGTTTAAGGCAAGCAGAATTTTTCCAGAGGTATTTCAATGTTAGTCCATATGTAGGTTTATTAAAGTGTTTCCATTCCTTTACTTTTTTCATTCCACTTTCTTTTTTGTTTTGTTGTAAACCCACAACTAAATTACTAACTGTTCAAATCACTTATCAAGCAAAAAATCCCAGACATTTGTCGAGTTCCAGCTTCTCTAATGTGAAATTTTCTCACAGTTCTTTGTTTTATGCCAGTCTAAATTGAACATCTTTGTATTTTGGACTTTAGTATGAACAAAACAAGACATTTCAAGGAAACTTGTGATGGGCAGTTTTCAATGTTTCCAGACATTTATTGACTAAACTATGGGTGAACTATTTTCACCATTAAAGGAGATGGATGAAAAGATAATCGTCGTCTTAATTTTAAAAGAAAATCCTCATTTAAAGACACAAATATGAGATGGTAAATCAAATTTTTGATCTTCCATGAAAATTCTTTTCATGATGTTTGATGATAACTTTTTTTTTTCTTTCACTGGTAGATATGTGCTTCCGTTGTAAATAAATCAATTAATTAAAAAGAAAAACGGCACATTTACAGCTCTTTTGTAATTAAGTAAGTAAGTTTTCATTCATTGTTGCTGTAACATGAGGTTGTAGGTGGGCAAAGGAGTCAGGGCAATAAGAGGATGCCTTTTGTGTCCTGTTTACAAAGTAAAGTATCCATTTGTCATGTCAAAGTCAGCTACAGCATCATCATCAGATATTAAACCCAGCAAACAGAGGAAGGATGATGTCTGCACAGTGACATCTGTCTGTGGCTGAGTGGCTGCAATAGTTCTGACTGTGCTGAGTATTATTGTAAACCGGAGAGATACTGTCACCCCCCTGTCAGCCTGCTCATGGCGCAGCTGAGGCGCTCTGACACTCAGATTCTGCTTCCGCCACCTTTTCATTGTTCTGGTGAGACAACAAAGCCGCGCCGCTGAATTACGTTATAGCTGTATTATTCAGATACACCAGGAGAGAGGCTTTTTCTCCCCTTTTTCAGGCAGCAGTGGAAAGGTCTCGGAGCTACCTAATGCCATCACCTGACAGAGCCCTTTCAGACGAGACTGCCTTCAGCAGTACACCGATAGGAGAAAAAAAAAAACCCTCTCTGCCCTCAGCAAGACCTCTTGAGTTCTCCTCTGTGGCCATTCTCTCTATCTCTCCTTTTCTTTCTCTCCTTTTCTTTCTCTCTCTCTCTCTCTCTCTCGGACACACACACACACACACACTTGCAAGGAGCACGGTTTAGGCTCAGGTGAAGTTGATTGTTCACCTCCCCAGGGCTTTCTTAGAATGAAATCTGGTGTGATAGCTGTCTCCACGATAAGACTTATGTTGATGGTGTATGACCCCAGTGGTTGTCCGTGCACGCACACACACACACACACACACACACACACACATCCCCAGATGAAGAAATATTGTTACACGGCTTGAGCACAAGCAATATTTTTCCAGCGACATCTCAATGTGCAATCATAGGCAGGTTTATTAGAATGTATCCTTTTCAGTTTCCCGCTGCTTCTTACTTTTTTACATTTGCACTTTCACTTTTCTTCCTGTTATTACAAACCCCGCAAAATGCCAATTAAACTGCAACGTGACTGGATGAGCTGTCATTGGCGCTTGGCCAGTTTAACTGCAGCGGTGATTTATTTACAGTAGATATGTGGCTAATTCCCCTGTTGGGTCAGCTAGACGGGACAGAGCATAGACACTCTCACATCCTACACACTAAGAACCCGGAGAGGGTGCTGTTGGGTTCATTATGGAAGTCAGGCGACTGCAGATTAATTCTGCTGCCTATAATTGGATGGCCTATCTCTGAGCATGGCAGGGCTTATGTGCCCAGAAAGTTGGCTGTGGGATTTGCCGGTGAACATACACAGGAGTCAGAAAGTACTGTAAAATAGTTCAGCACGGTGTTTCATGCAGTTAAGACACATATATTACTCACTTTATTTAAGCACATGGTTCATTTCTTGAAGCTTATTTGGTTTTTCTGTAGCAGTCCTCATAACCAGCTTTTCGACATTTTCATAATTGCTAATGTTCCCCTCTGTTTTTTCCCTCTGTTTCTCTCCTGCAGATCCCCAGCTCAAGGGTATAGTGACCAGGTTATATTGCAGGCAGGGATACTACTTGCAAATGAATCCCGATGGCTCTCTTGATGGGACCAAGGATGACAGCAGTAATTCCTGTGAGTATCTTGAAAATGTCCATTGACCTTCTAGAATATAACTCAACAATTTCAAACTCTTATTATCCAGAAACTTAATCATTGTACTGTAGGTTCCACAAAGGTCTTATTTGGGGGGGGGGGGTTCGGTTACACATACATTTCTCACTTCCTGGTCTAGATTCATTCCTCATATGCAGGAAATGAACCAGCAACCCTATAGTCAGTGTCTCTAAGCTTAAGGCCGATACTTCCTCTTATTTTTCATGGTTTGGAGCAGAAATGTCTGCTTGTGTTGCAGCTATATGATCACACAGATTTGTCCTCCCCTCTGAGAGGGAAAGTGGACCAGGAAACAGTAGGCCTACCAGGGAGGCAAAGGTATTATTAGCTTGTTCTGGCACTGCTCCTCCACTGCTTCAGGCTAGGTGGTTAATTTGATTCCTGTGCTTGGTGCTAACACTGGTCTGACACTCTACATTGTGTCACTTAACTCCTGTCAGCAAGAGGAGATGTGGCACATGTCAAATCTGATTGATTTTTCGGTTTAAGGGATTTATTGAAACAGTGGGAATACGTATACGGTGCACAAGGGATATATCATATCATTAAAAGGTCAAATAAAGTGTTGGCACTGATGTCTCCACATTAGATTTTACAGTTTTGAAATTTGCCAGAAGCTACAAAAGAAAAAAAACAATGATCACCAAGTAGTTTTCCCTAGGCTCCATATCTGCCAATACAGAGTACTTAATGGGTCAAGCAGAGGTCATTATTTGCCTTCCATATACACACACACTTAATGTCAGAGGCCAGGCCGGTCCTGTTGTTTCTCACCAGTACACAAACAATAGCCATTACCGACCAGGCCCAAGGAGTCTGCTACAACAACAAAAGGGCTATTAAATCTGCCATGCACCAGTGGTGGCCCCAATTACAGCCACTTCTCAGGTAGCTCTAGGTGGCCCAGGTTATGCTAGGCTAGTCACGTTCACCAGCCAGGCTGCAATTCATCTTCAGAGATTACCTAAATGCAACGGCTAGCAATTGTATTATCTATGCCTTGTGAAGCATTAATGATAGGCAGCTTGCATTTGGATGATGAATTACAGTGGTGTTTGTTTGTTTTGTTTTTTTTCAGGGTATTTAATGTTCACTTAATGGTTAGGGTCTGTCTGTGGTAATGATGTTTGGTGATATTTTTATGCATGTGTATGTTTCCTGTTCACATGTGTGTGTTTCAGCTTTGTTCAACCTTATTCCTGTGGGCCTCAGAGTTGTCGCCATTCAGTCCGTGAAGACAGGGTTATACATCGCCATGAACGGGGAGGGCCACCTGTACACATCAGTAAGCATTCTATTCTATTCTATTCTATTCTATTCTATTCTGTTATTTCTATTTTTTGGATATATGAGAACATTTTTGTTCCGCTTTACACACAAAAACGTACATTACACAATTATTAAGAATAATTATATAAATATGTTTGTATCTGTACTACATGTATATATGAATTACCCGTATAAAGACAGTAATTCAGACATAGATGTAGGTAGATATATGTAGTAAACTGATCAGTGTTCATGTCAAGCGAGACATTAGTCCCAATGAGGGTCCCTGAACATGTCTACGATATTTACCACATTTGCAAAAGGATAATTGCATTTCAGTGAAGGTAAGGGATCCCATTAAGCACAAATTCATACATATAGATTTCTATTCATCAGGTTAAATGCTCCAGAATTTTCATTCAATGTGAAAAAACAAAACAAAAACACATTTATAGGCAGAACACACATTTCGCTCTCTCAAATGAGATCTGCTGCCCTGCAGATATTACAAACTTATCCGTTTTTTGGTGTGTTAGTCAATAAAAATGAATGAGATGTTTGCTATTACCAAATGAATGGTGTGATGCTGTGACGCATGTGTTTATCATAAGAGGAAGAGGAAGTGAAGCCCAGAGCTGTTTTTTGAGCAGATTTGGGATATCTAAGGAGCAGCCATTTGTTTTCATTATAATATGTAGTTATCCACTGTTATTGACTACCTCTCTTCAAAATAAACGAGGCTTCTGCAGGCCAGACAGCCAAAGAGGTGATAAGACCTCCCCCAGAACAGATAGTGCCTCTAGTCTCACTCCTCCACCCTGTCTTCTCCCAGTCATTCAAATCAATCAGCAGGAGGAACACTGGGGAGTAGCGCTCCTCTCCCAGACAGGAGTATCCATCAGAATCACTGTCTCTTCTTCCCTCTGCTGTCCTCATGTTCCTAATCCTCAGAGTGCACAGCAGGAATCGCCATCTTATTTCTCATTCATTACCTCGGAGGTTTAGAGGAGCTACTTCTCTTACTGTACAATGCACCGGTATTCCAGTGGAATTCTCTCTTACTTAATCACTGCTCCACTTAAGCCATGAAATTAAATTCATTCGAGGAGGATTGACCCAGAATCCTATGGATTGTGTTAAGGAATTGCACAGTGGGGATTATGAATTAATATATATATATATATATATATATATATGTATACTACATATATATATATATATATATATATATATATGTATACTATGCGAACACCATTCTGCCTAACACACAAGAAAACATAATTGTACAATTTGTTGATTGCAGACACACATGCCGACATATTTGATTGCAGAAATGTCGCACTTCAAACCCAGTTGTCAACTTTTATAGACGGTGTACTAAAGAAGGTTTCTATTCATTGACTTCATTCATCATTTGTTGATACAGGGTCATCCAGTGAGAACGCTTATCTCTCTTGTACATTGGGTGACCTGTAAATAAAAGCAAAAATTCAACATTTAGACGAACATTCGAATTTACAAAACTGCAAATACATGATAGGGATCAAATTTGTAGAGGGTGAAAAGGAGCATAAAACCTGCAATAAATAAAAAAAAATCTGAGCGGAACAACATGGGATTATATTGTTTATGATGTATTCACATAGATAATCTGTGTGTTTCAGTGCTTCCTTTCCAGAATTCATGCAGAATTGATTTAATCATGCATCTCTATTATGATTGTTGTCCAGTACATGTTATATTAATGGCATATGCTCTCATGATTTTCCATGCTACTCCACTTGTCACATTCAGTGATTGTGGTGTTTTTGACGCCTGCACGTTGATCACCAGTGTTTTGGCGTCTCTGTAGTAAGCCGACGGTCGCTGCTGTGAAAACTTACATCGAAGTGTCGATTGTCAGACCTGCTTCATAGCTGATAAATGCTGCTAATTGGCATTCAAACTAACATCATTACATCAGTCTTTTATCGTCAAGTGTTTATTTTATTTTCTCCACTTGCCTCCGGTAATGTTTGGTCCATGCAGAAGTGCTGCGTAGCGGGCTCTCGCTGAGCCCGGTCGGAGCACTGTGTTCCTTCAGCACAGTTTGCCTTGCTCCCCTCTTCACACAGCTCCCCTGCTCCATTTGCAGCTTATTTCTGTGCTAATGGAGGTTCTGATCAGACCTCAACTACCCAGCCACCCACTCAAAGGTCTCTTTTTGCTCCTTAGTGTGTGAATTACTCCGATAATGGCAGCCTTGTAAGATGTTCTTCATCCTCCTCCCCCTTCTTCCTGCCTCTTCTGTGCTCCTCTCTAACCAAGGTACAACCATTCCTCCCATTATCGCTCTGTTCCTTCGCAAGTGAGGATCTGACAGTCAACCTTTTCCTCCCATTAGAGGTATTTGATTATAGCGCACTCACATTTTCAGAATCTACTTTGAAGGTTATATTAATGCAGGGAAATTCTGCAAAAAACAATGTTTTTTTCTCTGGAAAAAATATTCTTTTTCAACATAGTGTTGTTTCCCTGGAGCCAAATAATTTTTATTAACCAGAATTCACCTGGTCAGTTGTATTCTTTCACAATATTGAATACATTACAGAGGCTTTTACTGTGATGACGTACTTTAATAATGAGTGACACTCAATTTTTTAACAGATGAGGTGAATCAAAAGGAGAGTCCCACTCTTTCAGAAAATAGATGGAGAGCCCATTCAAGGCCTCTGGTAGTGCATCATATTCTTTTGTGTGAGGCACCCAAGGCGCAGCGTGCAGCTCAAATGACAGAGATAGCATCAAAGTGACTGTGCAGCCTGGCACAAAGGACACACCACGGAATAAAGGAGAGTTCAATCATCTCACCCCTTTTCAATCCGCTCCTTTTGTATCTGAGCCAATAAACTCTCGGCTAATTTCTCCTCCAGGCTGGTCCCTGGATCAGGCGTTTCTTCTGAAATGTAATAAGAGGAGAGGAATTTTTCCAGCTTGTTGTCGAAGGTAGCGGAAAACACGACTTATTGTGGTCTCTAGATAACTGTAATGGGAACTCTTTATGCAAAGACAAGACTATTTCAAATAAGATGAAACACAAAAACCTTAATTATTCTGTAGGGATGATGATATTGAATCCCTAAAAGGAAACAAGGAAGTGTTGGGTTGTATAGTCTTGTTACACATGATGAAATGGTGGTGCCGGAGAATGCAACTCCCTTGTGCTGATCTTGTTGTCATTTTTCAGTCCTGCTAATACAGTCTGCTACCACCTCTCAAGTGTAAAGGTTGGGCATTTCATGGTCGGCTGGTTTTCTTTAGAGCTAGTTCCCCATTCCCTCACTTCACTGGAGACTCTCACTGCAGGTTTTCTTTATCAGGAGCCTGCACTTGTTAGTGCTACCTTTCATGATTGTCAAATTGACTTGCCACATCACTTGAGTGGTCCTTTTTAGAAATGAAATCCTTGAGAGAGCCAATCCGGGAGCAGCGCGGTGGCTTTAGCTTCACTTGTTAGAGGCTGTATCATCAGTGGTATGAAGAAGACTGAGGGCATCTGTTTCCTGTTATGCTCAATTCACAATGTATGAAAGCTCCAAGGAGCTTGATGTGAAGGCTCCTTCAGTTTGCATCAGTATGAAAATGAAAGTGCAGGGTGGTGATGTGTGGGGAAGAATAGAGAAGAGCAGCTTATTCAGGAGTAGGTGGTGTGAAACCAAGGGAGTCCTTTGAGAACGCTCAAGACAGGATTCCCTCGTGTTTGGGTATTTGATATTTTTCCTCCCAACATTATTATTCATCTTCCAACCTCTTCGTCCAATTTACTAAAGCAGCTCTCATATGTTCAGTCTGTTGAGGACACCCTCACATGGAAGCACTTTGCTCCTTTGCTTTCATCTTCATGTTTCCTGCAAAAGCATGTATTTTGTTAGTGGAGGTTGCAGTTCCACCTGATGTTAAAACAACCTTCCAGTGTGAGATTACAGTCGATTGGGATATTTAAACAAAAAAAGTCCATAATTTCCCATGGCCTAAAATGTCCTAAAGTGATATCAGATGTCTTATCTTGTCTGACCAACAGTCCAAAATCCAGAGATATACAGTATAGTACAGTATATACCATCATCTACAATAAAGAAAAGCATCCAATCATCACGTGTGAGAAACTGGAGTGATTGACACTTTTGCTTAAAAAAATGATTATCAAAATAGTCAATTGACTATCAATTAATCGACTAGTTGTTGCAGGTCAAATATATTCTCTAACTACTACTACTTGATCCTTGAGGCCTGTGACAGCATAAATCAAGAAAACAATTTGTTTCAAAGGAATCATTGCAAAGTGAATCCGCAATAATCTTGTTGTTTTATGTTCAACTTTGGTTCAACTTTAACACCCGAAATAAAAAAAATCTTGGAGGGAATGGAGAAAAAGACAGTCCAAAACAGAGGAGGCGATCTTAGGTTATTAGCTGTGTTGCACAATACACTTCTTTATATACAGTAACTATCCTCTGCTGTTGTGTAAACTGCTCCACAAGGGAAGCATGATCTGCTGTAAGGAAACAGGAAATATGTCTTGGTTAAAACATGCTTGTAGAGCCATCGTGCCGCACTAACCCTGGCATGTTTCCGTCTGGACATTATATTAACGTTAGCTTGTTAGCCACCTTGTTTACTAGCACTGTGAGTAGTCACTATGTAACAACCTATTGCAAGGATGCTTGGATGAACTTTGCTATCCCACATTCTGATTCGACCAGGGCTTAAGTGTAATGATTGGAAGAAAGAGAAAATATGACAAAATAAGACTCTAGTTATGTACTTGCACATACTGTATGCACACATGAAGATACAGAAGATCAACAGAATTGTGACACCTCTTTATAAGAACAAGTGTGAACAAGCACAGATGTGTATGTGAGTGTGTGTTTAGGCTACATGCAGCATCACTGCCCAACAGATGGCTTCGTGTGAACATGTTTTATGGGTGTTGATTTGCAAACCTGCTATGAATGAAAATGATCTCTCTCACAG